GAAGACAGATGGTAACAGGGGAGACAGAGCAGAGACTGGATTCTTTGCTCACCATTGCCCCACGTAGAAACAGCTCTATTCAAATATCTGATTGGCAAATCCCTGCCTCCCGTTATCAGACACCCTTTGGGACCACTCTTAGCATCCTAGTGTTTCACTGCTCTACTGGGACTTGGGGCTTTCCAACTCCTCTAAAGGTTTCAAAACTCTCAGTTCTGCATATCTAGGCATGGGGGAGGAATGCAGAAAGGGAGAGAGGGCAAGGAAAATCTTTAAATGAAAGGGAAAAGGCCCCCACCATTGCCTGCCTCTACTGCCTTCTGCCCAAGGCTGGTGGAGGACAGGCAGGGGAAATCCAGGCAACACTGAGGAGGGATGCTGGTCCCAAAAATTCCTTGTCTTGGGTCTGGATCTCAGACCCCACAGCTCAAGTTTGGATACCAGTCTCTGTGCCTTAGCTCTGGATCTCTCTCCCCATACCTCTCTTGCACCAGGCTGCCACGTTTCCCTCATTTCTCTCTCCATCTTTTTTCCAGGAAAGAGTTTGCATTGTGATTTCCCCCATGCTGTTGTAGTTTGGAAAAAAAAATCATAGAAGCAACGTTATTTGCATTTTGAAACCAAGTAAGGAGAAGCCGGAGTGGGCTTTCCGCCAGTGCAGTCTGGCACTTGCTTTGTTGGGAGCATATAGAATAATTTATAAATAGCATGGTGGGATTTTTTTAAAGTATATAATTATACTTTTAAAGCTCCTGCATCGCTGGGGAAAAGGAGTCTTCAAAAAAGGCTTTAGAAAAAAGAGTCTTGTAGAGGGAAAATTTGTTTTACTGGCATTCATAAAATCGAAAAGAGGAAGGCTTTCCATTGCAGGAGACAATGCAGGAAACTCATGAACCTCCTCCCACCTCCTCCCCGTGGAAAAGGATTTCAAGATGCCTGGATATTTAGGGACTCTGTTTGGCATGGGGGGAAATGCTTTAGGAGCACAACCTTCCCTGGCCCCATGGGCAGAGCAGGATTTGCTGAGCCTGGACCATGGGGGCAGGGGGATTGGTGTGATTTACTAAATTCCCTTGTCGTTCAACCTCAGCAGGATCTGGGAAGATAAAGTCAACTCTCCGCTAAAAATAGAAGAAATAATGCCCAATCCCAGGGTTTTGAGGGCAGCAGCACATCCCAACCTTGGTGCAGAGGCAGCAGAGGCATGTGGAGGGGCAAAGGCTGCTCTTTGCATCCTTCACTGCCCTGCCCTGCCCATGTGGTGATTCCCGCTCCAGAAGGACGACCCAAAGGCTTCACTGCTTTTCTGCTTGAAAGGAAGACAGGGAATAAATAAATACAAAAATAAAAGCAAGTTGGGAGCAAGCTTGCTGTGGAACAACAAGGGAATTGAGTAAATTACACCAAGAGATGCTGCCCTGATTTCCAGGATCAATAGGGCATCAGCCCTGGGCTTTGGACACGCCCAGCACCCGCCGGCCAGCCCCGAGCCCTCCCATCATCAGCTCCATCGACGGCGGTCTTGAGGAACGGGGTCGATTCATCAGATTGCCCAGTGCAAAAATGCACAAATCCTCTGGCAGCCTGAGCTGGAGCTATCGATTTTTCTCATATTTCCTCTCCCTACTGGCAGGGGATGAGAGTGGGATGATGAGCATCAGGAGCTGGGGGGTCCCAGACCCCAGGGAAGAGGCAATGCACAAGGTCAGACTGGGAGCAGCTCCATCCATTGGGAGATGTCAGGGTGTTTATACAGCCAGGTTAGCTGCTCACAGAACGTTAAGCCAGGAGGAGCAGTGGCTTCCGAGACATAATAATGCAGTGGATTGATCTAATTCCAGTGGTAGGGATGTTGGTATCCATCCATCCTCTTCCACGCACTGCCCTGGCAGCTCCTGCAGATTTTCTAAGGTGGGTAAGATGATGCTTTTGTCCCTGTTTCAGGATGAGTCCTGCCAGGAGGGTCCGTGCCTCCCTTGGCCTTGTATGCAGCAGGGTGAATTTACCCACTGCCTGAATTTGATCTGCTGGGACTTGAGTCCATCACAGAGGTGGATTTAGGACTCGAAATTCCCGACAGGGATGGGGCAGCTCATGCAGATGCGGGTCTGTGAGCAGTAACCATGCCTTGCTGAGCTTGTGTATCATCTACCCTGCACTCCTCAGGGCAGGATTTTTCCCATACATCTCTCATGCAGTGTCAACGCACCTGGTGTTAAAAGTCCCAATGTCAGGCAGTGACATTGCCCTGACTGGAAGCCCATCTGTACGTTTGGTTGCTGCTGAAACACTCAGAGATGCAGATACACGGGGAAAGAAGCAGCTCCATTTTTCCGGGAGTGTTCCCTGTGCTGGGTCTGCACTGGGTGACCTTTCCCGGGCTGACTCACGGCCACGAGCAGGCAGCAGCTCCTCGAGGCTCACACATGTCCCCTCCGCTTTGCTGAAGTCACAGCAGCATCCTGCCTGGAAACCCTGCCACGGAATCTGAAATAACCCATCTGCCCAGGCGGGTCAGTGCCCCTACCATGTGGCTTCCAGGAGTGCAGCATGCCCCAGTGCCACAGAGGGATGAGCCCCTGGGATCTGTGCCAGTGCTGGCTGGGCTGGGGACTCGCTGTGCTGCCTCAATCTGGGAGCAGATGGGGGGTTTCACGCCCTTCCCTGGTGTGTCAGTGATTGCTCCTGGATGGTTTCCAATCCACATATATGTGCCTGGTTTAATTTATGCAC